ATTCTCATGGGTGTCAGCCCTCGAATAGAAGATCTGGATTACTGGTCGCTGGAACCCGCTTTGCAAAATCCCAGAGTGGCTCGAAGCATGACACATAGCCGTTACCAGAAGATATCTCAATATTTCCATCTCGCTGACCCGAGACACGATCCTTGTAATATGCCATTGACGTACGAGGAACGGTTTTTGAGAGTACAGGAGAAGCCTTTGTATAAGCTTGGAAATTTCTACATGCAGTTTCTCGGTAATTGCATCAAGAACTACAATTTGCATCGTGATATCTGCGTTTCTGAAGACCAGTTGTATTCACCCAATTGCGTAGTGCCGAACAGAAGCCCTTGCGTCAAGCCATATGTACTGATGGATGTGTTAACCGACTACGTTCAAAATATTGATTTCACTGCTCCGCTGAAAGATGGTGACAGTAAAGTGAAAGATGTCGTCAATTCATTGGTGAGGAACGTGGCTTTCCGAGGGCATCATCTGTATGTTAATGGTTTTTACACATCAGTCGACCTTGCCACCGTTCTTCTTGAGCAGAAGACGTATTTGACAGGCGTTTTACATCCTGGGTATAAGGACGCACCTTTTGAGATTATGGACGTACCACAGAACAGAGCTTCTCACCACGTCAGAACTCTTAAGAAGGGTCAGTTCCTTGCACGGCGCTACCGACTTGCCTCTATCTCGGCTGTTACATATCGTGATACGTCACTTTCTACCATGATATCTACGTGTCACGAACCGTTCGTACATACGGCAGACTCTGATTGGCTGCTGAGGTACATCAATATCAACAATTCTGCTCACCTAGTTAAGATTCCTGCACCGCGGATGGTGGTTGAGTACACTCAGACACGTAGTCACGTCAACAAAGCCCTTCAATCTCACACGCAATACGCTACTTTCCAGTCGCGACAGCACAATAAATGGTGGAAGAACCTTTTTCAGTTTTGTCTCAACGTGGCGTTATCCAATGCATACGTCTGCTACAAAGAACAAAACAAAGTGGATACAGCACGATTTGATTTTAAAACATTCGTCTTGCGCGTTGTGGATGGTTTACTTAATAACCTGCCTCGTGTAAAGCCAGACACACCTACGAAGCCAAGTCCAACCGTTGTTGACGTAACTTCTAGTCATAAGCTGTCATTGCACAATGGACGTGGCAAACCCTGTTTCCAGTGCAAAGCTGACGGACGAACACAGCCGAGTGGCTATGCTAGAGACACGCGCTACTTTTGTTCAGTCTGTGCTGTGCATCTCTGCAAAGGAATGTGTTTCACTAAATGGCACAACCGTCTATCCGCCGGCGACACCATGACAAGGAACCTTGGGAGGAGATCGTTCAAAGGTGCTGGGTATCGTAAACGATTCGGTACTGGTAAAACTTTTGGTGCTATGCGCAGTGAAGTCGTTAGAAGAACCGGTGCTACGTCAAGTACCAGGTCGGACTTCAGAGGAAATGTTGCTCACTCAAAGCAGTATTCTCAGGTAAGGCAACTTCTGTTAACTGTAAATTTCACAAGAATCAAATTTCCGAGAGTGTAATGTTGTTACTTGCCGTGTTTTGATGCCAGCTCAAAAAATAATTGACAAAAGCATGTATATTTAGAGTTATTTATAGGTCAAAATTTTGACCATTCTCACGTCTTTCTCACGTACGTGAGTTGGGCCGGAAATTAGCCATTGT